ACATGAAAGTCAGAAAATCTGACTATACTTCATTTGGAATATTTGTAGCTATAATGTGAGGCTGATACTTATAGGTGCAGTTGGTAACTAATTGGCTGACTGTATCATATTGTGAAAAAAAAAAAAAAGTAAGTAGAACATAACTAGCATATATAAACTCAGAAGGATTTTTTTTTTAATTTAAATTTTATTTAGATATACCTTAAAGGATATTGACTGGAAGTCCAGAATAATCAGAAAAGAAGTCAAAACCCAAAGAAGTCAAGGGAAATTTTGTTGATTTCACACTGGGTTTTCTCTTCTATATGGATAAAACAAACTTTCCCTCATTTGGCTTTAAAAATATCAGATGGCTATGTGGTAGTGGAAAGAATCACTTCACTCTAAACCTACAGTAATTTAAGGTCAATGGACAATAATGCATCTGGGGTTGCAAAAGTTACTAAGAAAAGGGAGTACAAGTAGACTAGTAGAGATGGTGTTTAGGCTGTTAACATGTTGTACAATGCCAAGCCATGACTATTATTTCTTGGTTCTTGGGTCATTGGCAAGCAGAGTACATTTTAAAAGATATGCATCTGATTCATCATAACTGAAGATTGCAAGTACTCAGGTGACTTTTGTTCTTTACATACCAGTCACCTCTAGGCATTTTTTTGAATTGACATTCAAATATTGCCAAGCTTGGGAGGAGAGGATGATCTACCTGTTACAAGAGGTTGAATCAGATCAAGGGACATCTTTCACTCCAACACCAAAATTTATGAACAGGGTGGATTATCTCAGAATAGGTTATGAAATTTTAACCTTGATATGAAACTCTTCCTATGTTGTGCAGAACTGGGAGTTTTCTATCAATGAATAAACAAGACACAGAGAAGATTCAAGATCTATGTCACAGATACCCAAGAAGGAAATAGTGCAAATGAAAGAGATGTTTACACATGTAAAAAGAGCTCAAAAATATTGTAAAGCAGGACTACTAAAGAGGAAGTATGCAAGAGAAATCAGACTGGTTTAATCTGTTTCCAAAATAAATACTGTTTACAGTCACAGTATCATATTTTATTAAATTACTAAGATATCACCATTTTATAAGGAATCACGGTGCTAAGGGTAGTAGGATAAAATGTGTTGTTTAACAGGAAATTTAATGACATCATGAAAATGAAATATAAAGAGCACTAGCTTCAATATACTTTTCTTCAAATTACTTTACTTCAGGGAATGTGGTTTATGCATGTTAGTAATTATCAGTGCGTATAATGTTATATATGTATATATATGTGTATATTATATATATATATATAATCAGGTCTAAAATAAGGTAGTTACTTAGAAGCTACATTAGATACATTTCCTTAAAATTTTATTTTTCTTAGAATGTTTTCTTATAAATTGAAATTTTTTTTCCAGCACATTTTTCAAAGAATTGCCTCTCAGTAAAGGTCATATAAAATTAAACCAAATATTTACTTATAGTGACTAGGCTTGCATATCACTTTTAGAGGGGAATCCTGACCTTTGTTCACATAATTGCACTGTGTTCATGACTGCAAAAAGACACAAATCCAGTGTGTTCAGAGCAGGAAGATGTTCTGAGTAAGACCTATCCCAATGCATAAAAAAGGTACAATAATTCTGTGAGGGAAATAGGTGTTTTGTAGATGAATTAAAAGGATGTGTACAAAATAAACCCTTCTCTTTCCTAATGCTGATCTTAATATTATTTCTTTCCTGTTCACTTGACTGTCATGAAACTTATAGTTCAAAATTTTCCTAAGTTCCTTTGTCATGGGAGAGAAAGCCTCTGCATTGGCTTTATAATAAGCATTGGTAGCTTCCATAATTGTAGTTATGTATTATGGGGTTTTGTTTGTTTGTTTTGTGTGTGTGTGTATGTGCATGTGCTACATTCTCTGATCCTACTTGATTAAGACAGCCTTGGTGGCTGTGTCTCCATATGGAATTTTCATGTATACTATAAGTTTCAACAGAGTCCCTCAGCCTACTCTCTCAGATATGAATATTCAGGTGCTACTTAGTTGTTCCAGAAGAAGACTTCCTTTCAGTATAGTATCTTAAACTCTCAGACCAGTACTTATATAGAGCCAGAGAGTAGGAGGTGTAAGAAGTATAGGTGACCAGTTGCTGATATGGACTAGCAACTTCTTGCATACAGGGCAGGTTACATTATTTGGCTCATATATCTGGTGTGGACTCAATGGCTCCTTATGTGCATACTGAGAAGTAGCAATGAGTTGTAAATGAGAGGGGAGGGGAGCTTTGCCTTCCACTGAAATAACAAAAGCAAATCCTTATTTCTCTTGTTATTTTTAAACACTGAATTTGCAAATAAGTATCATACCATGAAAATTCACATTTTCAAGACTATTCTGTAAATGTTAAGTTTAATTTTCACATCAGAAATTAATTTCCTTTATATGAAAAACATTCTTCAAAGTAATCTAGAAGTGATATTAGTAAATTCTAACTGAAAGGATGTGAGAAATCTTTCCACTGATTCTTATAGTTGTCCCTGTAGTCTTCAGAACTTTCCTGAATGGAAGGAATGTATTGCTATGAAAAAAAAATCAATGGATTTCAGAAGAGCCTTCCTGAACATTTTCTGGTCTTGCCAAAATTAGGAATTATGTAAGTCTGGCTCAGGTGTCAATGTATACAGTTAAATAAACCTACACAGTTTACCATATAACAGAGCATTTAATAAAATCTGGCACACAATATTAGAGAATCCTCTTTTAAAGATTTTATACAAGGCCTACATGCTTAATAACATTAAAAATTCTATCTCTACATGTATATACTGATAAGAAATAAAGCTTACTAACTGGGGGATAAGTCTGCACAATATATGTATAGTTAGAGGGGTATGGTCTCCTTTGTGATCTATGGAGATGGTGTACTTTGTGAAGAAATAAAGAGGAATGACATAAAAGCTTAAGGTCTTTTGGAAGTAAGAAAGCCTGACAGTTTTAAATTTTATTTATTTGACTTCACAAATTTTAATAGTCAGAGCAATTGATAAAGGTGAGTGTTTAAAGTCCAGGATAGAAATTCCATGTCTGTTCAACACTGTCCATGCAGATGCAATTTCAGAATCACGTTCTTTATAATATCCTGCTTAATGAGTCATAAAATTGTGGTAGAAAAATAATCATTAGGCATATTTTTATAAACCTGGTAAATATACAGTTTGTGGAATGACAAATATTATTGATAACCATTCTCAGCGTTTTTTTAACTGTGTATGTTTAGGAAATGCTCTCCTATTTTTAATATGTAATTTGTGGAAATATTTTTGTGATCAGGTTTTACTCTTCTGGATGTTAACTGAAAAGCAAATGATGATGTTTCCACTTCTGACATGAGTATCTCTATGTACAGACATTCTTCATCTCATACAATCAACAACAAGTGAAATGTGAGCACTTGTTCAATGTTCAGTAAAAATTAGAAAGAATCTGACTTACAATTAATAAATTCAAAATTAATAAAGAGTATAATGATTTATTTGGCCAGACATGGATAGCTGAGAATCTTTGAGCCTTAACAGTAATATGTCTGCAAGTCAAGATAGAGTGGCAAGTTCATTAAAAGTAACAAAACGCAATCAAATAAGTGATGTGTTGAAATTAATAGAAATCAAATTGATGTAGTTTCTTAGGAAGATTTGATATTTTTATATTATTTTGCTGTTACATATTTTATCTGCAGAAAATTAGGTAGTAAAGGATTCATCCTAATAAACCAAGGCATATATACATATGCCTATATATATAAATATATGTTTATATGTGTGTATATATATATAGGACAAGATCTTGATAGCCTTCATCACATGGAACAATATGTCACAACACCCCTTCAGAAGCCAGTGAGACAACTTAGAGCACTATCAGCACAACAGAAGTTACTGGAATCTGATTGGTATTGAGGCTGTAGTAAACAGTCTGTAAATAAGTAATCCAAAACACAGTAAGAACAAAACAGAAATGGTATGATCTACGGGGTAAATACGCTGAATTACTAGATTTATTAATGCTCACAAAAGGTTTTGCAGCTCCATGGCAGTGGGGTGAATAAGGAAGTGGCATTTGCAGCATTTAAAATCATCCCATGCAGTTCAGGAGGGATGAGGAAAATCTTCCTTGCATGGAATAAACATTTTCTTGTAACCTGACTGTATCTGCTAATTACTTGTTTATGAGCACAAAGAAAATAATACCTTAAGCATGATACATACCTTTAAGAATATGCCCCCCCAACGAGACCATTTTTTATCAAAACAATGTTTCATGCAAATACAACACAATCTCACAGAGATAGCTACCAACACACTATGCTAACATCTGCAAAACAGACAATTACAATCAACCCAGTTTTCTTCCTACAGAACAAGATGGACAATTTAAAAAAAAAGGACTGATGGCAATCATTGTGCAAGTATAAACACTAATATTCTACATTTTTGTTTGGTTTTTTTTTTTTTTTTTTTCAGAAATAATGTACAACTGTACATACTCATCTCTACCCCAGTTATATTGCGTGGACTGAATTGAGAGCTGTACGGTCTCATTTATATATCTGAATAATCCTGCACTCCATTGTGATAGACATATCTTCCAGAGAACAAGGTTTCCCTTGTGGTTTATTTTGTGGAGTGTATTTGGACTGGAATGCTTTCAGTTTCTAAAGCAAGCATTTGCAGATATAAACTAAACGCAAGATCTGCCCAAGAGAACAAACTGCAAGAGCTGCAGTGGATGATTACTGTTTTGTAAAATCAGCTATTAACAGACCTTAAGCAATCTCGAAGATATTTAGCTGAATTTTACTTTCCGAGGTTCACATAGATAAGGGAAAAAGGAGGTGAGAGAAATTGCAGGAGGAGGAGCTGATCTGTCTCAAGGTGGAGCTGTATCTTGTATTAAATGACATTGGCAGACTAAAGCTCTTTGGCTGGGAAGGGCTTAAAGGCTGAGTCAAAAGCCAAGAAGTCTCTTTATTTACGCCTACCTCCCAGCCCCCGGCAATCTGACTAATAACAAACTGAGCTAACAAGAAAGACTAGAAAGAGCAGAGAGAACACAGAAGCAGCTTGGATGTAAAAATCTGACAAACCAAGTGATTAAGTTAAACTCTGCTGAGCATTTGTTTGTTTACTGCATCCAAATGCTTGCAAACAGTTAACTATATACAGAAAAGTCAGCATAGCTGTGAAGTATGCTGTGAATTTTAATTGAGGAAAAAGGACAACTGCTTACATGATGGTCTAACGTGCACGCTGCCTGGAAGATTTTTTTGATTAAACGCTTTGTATTTTGTCTTCTGAACAAGGATTTTAACTTTATGGAACTGTAGTATTAGCAGAGCTTGCAGCAAAGAAAAACTCAGAAGAAAGTGTGCATTTTTCACAAGGAAAAATTACATCTCATTGAAACAGCTGCTCCAATTTTGCATTACCGAGCATTTCGGGGAGTGTTACAGTTGTACAGGTAAGAAAGATTCCACATAGTTAATTAGCTCAGCATATGAGAAATTCATTTGTCAGTACTGGTTGAATTTCTTTTCCTTCATGACTTTGTATAACTTTTATGTTAAATGATGACAGTTTATAATGTATTTCAGATAGTCTGCCAGGTGCATTTATTCAAACTGCCAACTGTGTAGAATGTGTGTATTAAGAAATCATTGATTTCGGATCCCTTGAGGGGGAGGAATGGGTGTTTTTATTTCCTGAAGTGCAAGATTGGTCTTAAATGCATCATCTGACTGTGACTCCACTCAGAATTTAATAAAAAAAACTGAAAGACTTTTAGAAATTACCAGTTCTTAGTTTGAGGATTTGAAATTATTCAATGTGCATTTTTTAAATTGCTGAATTAAAATAAACAAACAAAATCCAAAGTAAAATGAAACAAGCTATTTCAATGTTTTAAAAAGATGATTATGGTTTGTTAAGCATGTGATGCTTTTGCTATAAGATGACTACTTCTGAAAGTATTCAACTTTGCCTTGTAGAAAGGATTGTGACATTTTTCAGTATTTCAGAATTCCTACTGCTAAAATCTTAGTTACAGTATGCAGTTAGTAGTGACTTACATGAAAGTATATAAAATGAACAAACTGAAGTTACCATGTAGAATGTGCTGAAAAACCTCAACACATGAAACAGAGGAAGGTCAGCTTTGTCAAGTCTTTTAAATTAAATTTTATTATATTCTGAATTCTTTCAGTTAAGTGTTGATCATCTGTTACTAGAAAACAGTTTTTATTTTATAATAGTAGCCTACTGAGAGCTTCATTACATATTTCTGAGTATTCAAACAAAAAAAAAAAAATGGAAAAGGGAAAAAAGAATACAACTCTTTTATTATTTTTTGCCGTGTGCATGTGTGTGAGAGTTCTGGCTGTGTTGCCTACAGAAGTATTACGATGATTAAAATGGGAATGTTTTCCAATTGGTTACAAATGTTACTTTCATCTCTGAGAGGAGGGCTTTCATTTTTATAACCTAATTTCTCAATATGCACTAGAATGCAACATATTTTTCAGATTATTTTTTTTTTCCATTTAATTTTGCTCAGGGACATTATAAGTGCACATGGAATTTAATGCAGATTGAAGCTGGAATTCCTACACAGAAAAAGTGTACAGAAATAAAGTCTAATTAGTCATACAGTAGGTTTGAAGCAAGCATCTGTGTTAAGAGACTGCATTTTTTACCTTTGGTCCCTGGAAAGGATATTGATTCATGTAAAACAAGAATAAATCTCTAGCATAATAAGAACCTAGAGTTATTCTGTGTACTTCAAAGTAACATCTTAAAATGTTATGTCTTATCCAATACTTCTTGGGAAAATAAACTTAAAAACATATATATTAAACACAGTCAGCTGGAGTTAAAGGAGTGTTATATGAGACAACAGAATTATTTGTTCTACTGAAACAAAGATAAAAGGTCATATTTTTAGGGACACTTTTTCTCACACTGTGCATTGCACTTACTACTTCTAAACTCATACATATAATCCCACTTATCAGGAACTATTAATAGAGAAAAACATCATTCACTGTGCACACATTTCCTGTTGTTGCTTTTGTGTGTGTGTAATACTCTTACCACAGCACTTAAGTGCCTATATGTATAAATCTTTGCAATCTTTTTTAAGGGAAGCCTTGAGAAATGGTGTTGCTAATAACAAAGGTACATGATAATTAAAATATGTATTGATAAAAAACCAAATCATATGGCCGCACTATAAGTATGTTCATTCATGTAATTGAATATATCCTTCTAAAATGTTCTAATCTTTCAGAAAATAACACTTCAACTGGTTAGTTGTGTAGTGCTATTCTGTACTCTGTTTCAACAGCTTACTTTGAAAGATCAAGTGACCTTTATTAGATGGACTACTTAAGAAACCTGTTTAGTTCAGCCCTAGAATAAATAGCACACAAAAAGGTTCTTGTGTTTTAAATATTTTATTCCTCTGGAAGACTTTTTTTTTTTTTTTTTTTTTTTTTTTGTAGAAAATGTGGAAATATTTAATTAAAGATTATAAACAGTGATTTCATTCCATCTCATATATCAAGAATTACCATTGTTCATATTAATTAGACAGTCTTGACAGAAAGTAACAGAGAATCTTCAAATGGAGTGTAGCAAAAATTAATTCAAAACAATGATAACAAATACTGGATTTCAACATGTAAATTTTGTTTGTGATTCCATAGTTACACTGTAATGATGCATTTATCAGGTATTGCAAAGTTTAAGATCAGCTACAGATGATAATTTAAGTTACATAACATAAAGATGATGCTAGTGATCATTTTTAACTCATAAAACACAATTCCATGCACATTTCCGATTTTTTTTGTGGTAATTAATGGCTATAAAAATTGGAAGGAGTCTAATAATTAATCTCAAAAAAAAGTTTACCCCTTGCCTGTTTCCTCTGACATGTACTGCGTCAATTCTTTCTTTTTTTTTTTTTTTTTTTATTTTAGTTGTGTACACATCGTTTTGTGTGTGTATTATTTACAAACTTATTACACTGCTATGTGTTGTGTTCTCATCTTCACTAAACATCCACACACTACAATATATGCATTAAAATTTAAGTAAAGAAAAAGAATTATTTTGTCTACTTCCTTTTCAGTTTGGGAGTACAAGGATTGCAGAGGAAAGACCTTTTGATTTACATACATAATGCAGAACCAAAGGAGAGAGTCCCTGTATCCTGACTGAATGGGCTTTTGCTCACAACACATTGTTGAACCAAACCAAATCTTGTTTCCTCTCTTCAGCATCTGGACATTAAGTTGAGTTTAGCAAGGTACTCTCACAATTTGCAGTGCTATATGGTGACACAAAACAATGATCCAAAACATTACATTAACCTTGATATAAGTTGATTCAGGGCAGTAATGTATTACTGCTGTCATTGACAAAACATTCTATATGGTGTATAAATAAAGACAACATGCTCCTCTTTATGTCCTACTTTGGTGTAAGTACTGAAGTACTGGTGAAAGTATTGAAGCATTCCCCTTATGACTGTGTTTATTGTTTCAGTACATTAAATATATTTTTCTCTGTTTAGAAAATCATTCAAATATTTTAGCACGATATAATATTGTTTGAAAAGTGAGGTAGCTTAATGACAAGTACTAGCAATGATTATTGTCCTCTCCCCCCAATGAAAGAAAAAAAAAAAAAGAAATCAACTCTGTGAAATCATGATTCAATTACTTTCTTTTTTTTTTTTTTTTTCTTTCTTTTTTTTTTTTTTTTTTCTTTTTTTCTTTTTTTGTAGAATCTGCTGGGCAAGATGAAGCTCTGGATTTTTATTCTGTATTCAGTTGTGGTTGCATCTGATCCTTTCCAGTCCCAGCCTTCTTTTTCTTCAGTCAGAGGATCTTGTCAGAGTTTGTGTTCCTGTGAGGAAAAGGATGATACTATGATTATAAACTGTGAAGAAAGAGGCATCAAGATGGTATCAGAAATAAATGTCCCACCATCACGGCCTTTCCATCTTAATCTATTAAACAATGGCCTGACTGTGTTACACATGGATGATTTTGCTGGCCTTGTTAATGCTATCTCTCTACATCTTGGTTTTAATAATATTGCAGATATTGAGCCTGGGGCTTTCAATGGTCTCAGCCTTCTTAAGCAACTTCATATCAATCACAATTCTTTAGAAACACTTAAAGAAGATACCTTTAATGGATTGGAAAATTTGGAGTTTCTTCAAGCAGACAACAATTTCATCACAGTGATTGACCCAAGTGCCTTTAGCAAGCTCAACAGGCTTAAAGTGCTTATTTTGAATGATAATGCCATTGAGTATCTTCCTCCAAACATATTTCGTTTTGTGCCATTGACCCATTTAGATCTTCGTGGAAACCAGTTACAGACACTGCCTTATGTTGGCTTTTTGGAACACATTGGTAGAATACTAGACCTTCAGTTGGAAGACAATAAATGGGCCTGTAACTGTGATTTGCTGCAGCTGAAGATATGGCTAGAAAACATGCCTCCGCAGTCAATAATAGGTGATGTTGTATGCAATAGTCCTCCAATTATTAAAGGCAGCATCCTAAGCCGGTTGAAAAAAGAATCACTTTGTCCCACCCATCCTGCCAATGAACTTGAAGATCCTTCAGGGTCATTGCCCTTGGTTGTAACCACCTCTATCAGTGATAGTTACATATCAACTAAGGTGATTCCTATCCTGAATGCTCCTACTAAAGAACCAAGTTTAATGCTTCATACTTCAAAGCCTACTACTCAGTTTTCAGGAATCTATTGTCCTGTCCCCTGTCACTGCACCAGCCATATGCTCTCAGGAGTTCTCATGCACTGCCAGGAGCGAAATATTGAAAGCTTGTCTGATTTAGGACCTCCTCCTCCAAATCCTAAAAAGCTTATTCTAGCTGGGAACATTATTCAGACATTACTGAAATCAGATCTTGTGGACTATGCCAGCCTGGAAATGCTTCACCTGGGGAACAATCGCATTGAAATCCTTGAGGAAGGATCCTTTATGAATCTGACTAGACTGCAGAAGTTATATCTCAATGGCAATCATCTTACAAAGCTAAGTCAGAATATTTTCCTTGGCCTTCAGCACCTTGAATACTTGTACCTTGAATATAATGCCATCAAAGAAGTTTTGCCAGGGACATTTAATGCAATGCCAAAACTTAAGGTCCTCTACTTAAATAACAACCTTCTGCAGACTTTGCCACCCCATATCTTTTCAGGTGTTCCGCTTGCCAGATTAAATCTGAAGACAAACCAATTTGCTCATTTGCCTGTGAGCAATGTCTTGGATGAACTGGATATGCTAGTACAAATTGAACTTGAAGACAACCCTTGGGACTGTACCTGTGATTCAGTTGGGCTGCAAAAATGGATACAAAAACTGAGTAAGAATACAATGATGGGTGATATTTTTTGTAAATCTCCAGGACATCTAGCAAAAAAAGAACTGAAATCCCTGAACAGTGAAGTCTTGTGTCCAGGTTTAATAAATAGCCCTGCCCTACCAACTCATGCTGGTTTTGTAGTTGTGACAACTTCTACTACTACCAACACTGCAGACACCATCCTGCGGTCCCTTACAGATGCTGTCCCACTTTCTGTTCTTATATTAGGACTTCTAATTGTGTTTATAACTCTTGTATTTTGTGCAGCAGGAATAGTTGTTCTTGTTCTGCATCGGCGACGAAGGGATAAAAAGAAACAAGCAGATGAACAAATGAGGGATAGTAGCCCAGTTCACCTTCAGTACAGCATGTATGGGCATAAAACAACACACCAGACAACAGAGCGCCCAGCTGCAAGTCTCTATGAGCAATGTATGGTTACTCCCATGGTTCAGGTCTACCGCAGCCCATCCTTCAGCCCCAAGCATACTGAGCAACAGGAGGAGGGAAGTGAGAAGGAAGCTGATGATTCCAAACATCTCCGCCGAAGTCTTCTGGAAAGAGAGAACAGTTCACCTCTTACAGGTTCAAATGTCAAATATAAGGCTACAGATCAACCTGCTGAATTTCTGTCTTTTCAGGATGCGAGCTACTTATATAGAAACATTCTCGAAAAAGAGAGAGAACTGCAGCAACTAGGGATCACGGAGTACCTAAGGAAAAACATTGTCCAGCTCCAGCCTGATATGGAAGTTCATTATCCGGGAACACATGAGGAGATGAAGCTAATGGAGACACTCATGTACTCCAGGCCAAGAAAGGTGTTTCTAGAACAAACTAAAAATGAGTATTTTGAACTCAAAGCTAATTTACATGCTGAGCCTGACTACCTGGAAGTCCTGGAGCAGCAAACGTGAAGTGGCAATATGTTGGGTTGGGGCCGAATTTCTGCAATTCTATTTTAAGTTGCAACCACTGCAAATAAAAGTGCCTTATAATAACATGTCAACAGTCAGAACTTAAGCACAGCAGTAATCCTAGCAAAAAAAAACTCAGGGATCACTGTGGGAAGCCATCGGGTTATGTGCAGGCAATATGTCTCACCCCAAGATAAACATGAACTTTGTGTGATTGAACTGTGAGAGGAAGATTGCTTATTTCAATATTCCTCAACATTTTAAAAAGGTGTGCATGGCACTCTCCACTCTGTACCCAACATGTGGAAAAATATTTGTTACCCTTTGCTCTTTCTTTTTAACCTCAGTTTAATTAGATTCTTAAAAAAACAAAGAAACAAACAAACAAACAAAAAAAAAAAAACAAAAAAACAAACAAACAAAAAAAAAAAAAGAAAAAAAACAACAAAAAAAATAAATTAAAAAAAAAAAAAAAACCACAAACAAACAACCACCTGTGTGTGTAGTTATAAGGTTGGAGTGTATTGGTTAGGTTAGTACATGCACTGCATACATGACCACATGACCATTGTCTACAACTACACCTAACATAACGTTATAACAAATATGAAAGGAGTTGAAATATTGTCATAGTAAATGTCAGTTAAAAAAAGAAACACAACAACAAAAAGACACAAAAAGAAAATATTTTTGTGTATGCACCCAGAGCCTGCAAATATTTAAGTATTTTACATAGAACTTCATCATGTGCATTCTGTAACAGTATGTGGAAGGAAAAATATATAATGATGTTTACCCAACATCTTCAATGAAGATAAAAGCAAGCCTTTTGCCACTTTCCCTATCTGATAGCTTTACCTAAGTTTGGACAATCTTTTCTTAAGTTGCTGCTATAAAATATTGTGCATCACTGGTATTTCAACTCATAATCCTGGGCAATTTGAAAAGCTACTGAGAATCAACTGTAAATATATTACTGTGTTTAATAAGTTTGATTTTTTATATATATATATATATATAAAATTAAATTCTGTGCTGGCTTTAAATATTCTTGGAGGAAATGATTTTGCTATGGCTAGGAACTTCCAAGTACAAATACATGTCCTTTCCCACCCTACCCAAAAAATGCTCCCAGACAGAATAACTGCAACAACACACACACATGAGAAAGAATAATAGTATTCAGCTGTTTGTACAAAAAAATATATTTTCTGAAATTATAAGAAAATAAAGTGTTGTGGGGAAAATAGGTAAAAAAAAGTAGAACACTGCGTTTATTTTTGCAATGAATTCTAGCTAGATTTATATTTACTATTTATTCTGTATAATTTTGTATTTTTCTTTTTCAACTCACAAGAAAAGAAAAAGCTTATTCCTGGCTGCCTTTCAAGAAACTGCTCTCTATCAATGAAAAAGAAATAAAAAGTTTTTAAAATGTCTTTTTCCTAAAGGTCCCTTTTTAAAGAAAGCAACTTCTGCATATACAACTTTAGAACTGTTTGGGAATTAAACACAATGCTTCTCACTCTTGTCATGTGGACAGAAGCATCTTGTCCAGAGTGCAGTAAGGCCATTCAATTTCTGTGCATGACTAACATGGTGCCAAAACACAAATTCTGACCTGCATTTATCTTTCTCTAAGCAAATCTTTTGTAAACTGACTATGCGTGAACTTTTGGTTGCCTAATTTCTATTTTTAGAGTGAAAGATCATCTTAATTACTACATGTCTACATATGTATGTTAAACTTAATGTTGAAGTCTTGATAAACTCTAAGTAAAAAGATATATTATTTAGTTCAGCTTACTGTTGATGTCTTACATATTTGTATATACAATTGTGAGTTCTTCATATTCTTTGTACATAAGTTTCTGAAAGATTTTTTCTATCCTACATACAAAAGTCAGATTCTCAGTACTTTCAAATATGCATAAAGATAATGACTTTGGTGATGTTATACTGATTTCTGTAATTTAAGGATCTGACCACGTTATCTCTGTTAACAAATCAAATTCTTTATTAACATTTTTGAGGTGTCATTAATTTTTTATGGAAGTCAAAGTTGTTGGCTTCCAAAAATCAAAATGTCAGTTATTAGAGAATAAGTATTATTTTCTCTTTCTCTGGCTGAGAATAATTTAGTCCAGAAAACCAGTGTATGTAGGAGGATTAGGAAGAGTAAAATTGGTTGCAACATATTTGTTTCATTGCTATCTTTATTCTGGACAAGTAAAAGTAATGTTAAGTAATACTTGTGCAGGTACGGGTGAGACTAAAGGGAAAATGCAGCTACATTAACTTTACATTAGCTTAGGTGTCTAGTGTTATATTACCTGTCCCAGCACATTCAAGACATGTGAATGGGCCTCATGGACATGCCAAAGAACCTATGGAAACCCATGCCCTGATCTGGAGGAACAGCTGTAGCCCAGGGGGGGTGGCTTAGAACATCAAAATGACTTTAGATGTCTATATTTAAACAATTTAGTTTCACACACACACAAAAAAAATCTAAGTAACTTTATTATTTGAAACAATTAAGACCCAGTGAAAAAATTAATTCAGCCAATGGAATTGACACCAGAAAGCTCTGAATATTGAATCAGACCTGATAATACTGTTATTTTCTGAATTATCAGAGATCTCAAATTAGTGTAGAAAAAAAAAATCCAGAACAAAAATGTACATGGTACTTGATAACAGAGTTTAGTATTTTAGTGTCTTTCATTTAATTGGTTATTTCCATCAGTAAAAAATAGTTGTAAAGATAATACCGTCTAATTGGCAAGATGGAGGGAATTCATGATTCAAGCCCTCAGGCTTAGATTTAAGAGAAACAGCTCCAGACTAAAGACAATTGCCACATGCACAGATGTCACTTTGCTTAGCTGCTAACAGTTACTTGGCAGAATGTTGAGGACAACTGTGTGGCAAAACATTCTTTGTTGCAGTCTCAAAGCATCAGAAAGAACAGTGAGCTAACTTCATGTCAAAGCAACTCAGTTATACAGTTGTATCGGAGCATCACTCACCAGAATTAAAGAGCTTCAGCCTTTAGCTTTCCCTCAGCAGGGAGATTCACATCATTCATTATATAAGGGCAACTGTGCTCTGTGGCAGTCGGTAACACTGCAAGTGGTTTTGCAATATCCAGGAATCACTAGAATGAATCACATCATCCACTTTCCTATCATCTGTCCCTGCTGGATTGCCTTGCAGTGGAGGTTTGTATGGTGAGGAGAGAAGGGTCTGCCTATAATTGTACCTCTTAACATTCTCAGGCAGTGATTTTCCAGCTGTGATGAAACTTTATATTGCCATAACAAGAAGGGATAAGAATTTAGCCTTATATGATTGTTCTTCTGCTGATAAAAATTAAATCATGATGTAAGGAAACTATCACGTACAAAAAAAGAAGGATGCAGGATCTTTTTTCTAAAAGTTCCTTGGAACATTTTCATTGTATTAATTAGAAATGTGTCCTTAATTTTATTGGTGATTGTGGAAAGTTAGGAGGGTTATTCGGAATTATTTAAAAAAAGAAAAATCATTCTCTTTTTTTCTTTTTTTTACTCAGTGACAGGCTCAGTTAAGTGGTTTGATGCATTTCACTTAGCTAGAAAAATGCAGGTTGGAAGGCAAAACATGTTTGACAGTCTGCAACAAAGTGGATCCATTTTTCTCCTGTCATAACAATTGTTTAATTAGCTGAGAGAACAGTGCTTCATCAAGCATACTGGTGTACATGGCAGCTATGTTACTGTTGTTAGGGTACCTCAAGGTAACTAACACTACCATTTTTCACCTTACATTTGAGTGAAGAATATATATTAAATAACACTACAGAACCGTTCCCTAAATAAACAGATATTAAACCAATTTATTGCACTTTGTTATTTTAAACTCTTTTTATCTTTTCTACCTCATAAAAGTCAAATGTACTTCTCTTTCTTTTTCTTCCTGCTGCGGGTATTTTTCACACAACTTTTACTACGATACTTGAATATATTACCTGCAGTTATGTCTCTCCAAGCTTCTAACAGAAAAAACAAAACAAAACAAAACAAAACAACACAACCCCCCACCCACGAAACCCTTTCCAACAAAACATGTAAATTTACACATAAATTAGGGTCTTTGCCTATTCAGAAATGGTTCAATATGTTCACACATTGTTCTTCATTAAAATGACAGATCAACATTTCTGTAACTAAATTCTAGACTGAAAACATATTCATACTTTTTGTCAGTGACATGTCAAATCTACCAGATTTGAATCCAAAACTTCATCTGCAGCCATTGTTAATCTGATTGGAATCTAGGGATCAGGTTTTGGCCCCTCTTTGCATGACAAAGTAGTCCCCAGTATCACTCCAACTAGAGGATGTTTACAATGTTCCACTTACCTACATATAGATTACTAATTGTATAGAATGCTAAACTGAAAAGATAAGTTTGATTGGGATGGCAAACCACCTTATAAAGATCAACTTCTGGTGTGTTCATAAAAAAAAAAAAAAAAAAAAAAAAAGTATTTACTACAAATAAAATATTATTTCACAGGAAAAAGTAATAGTAGCAAGGGAAAAATGGAGTCTGAATCTCAAAGTCATCATCAGAAGGGATTCTGGATTATCGTTCTGAGGATACCATTGTCTACAGCAATATAGTTTATTAGCCACACCAATACAATCTGAAAGTTTCACATAGATGCACAGAAATCATCATGAGGGAAAAACAAAACAAAACAAAACAAAACAAAACAAAACAAAACAAAACAAAACAAAACAAAACAAAACAAAACAATTGAGCGCTTGTCTTAATTCAAAAGATAATCTGAGAAACTTTCTTAAGACTGTGGCACCTTTCTCTCCTCTTATGCTCACCAACACAGAATAACTTAATTTACATTACTGAATTTTCTGCTTAGCCATAGACAGCCCTCTGTCACTACAATCTACTATGGTAATTGAAACCTACTCCCTAGAGAGGTTTTGTAGTGTGTGCATTGCCTTCAACAGTCAGTTCCTCTAGGATGTGATGTCTGGTGCAATCTGTTGGATTTAAGACAGCAAAGATGGATCTATTACTGAGCTTGGATTACAAGTCCTTTTTGATTTTCTGAAGTTTATGATATTCTTGATCTTATTTGAGGAGTTGATATCAAATTCTTTTGTTCCTTGAAACCGAAGTGAACTGTATCTGGAATCAATATGGGGAAGTTAATCACCATACTGAAAAGAGATAGCATGCTATTTTCTTTCCTGCACATCTCCTAACAGTCAGCTTTGGCTTTTTTGACACAACAGAACAAATTCTTAAGAGCCACAGTCTAATGGAAAGCAGCTAACCTTGAGGAAGAACACAAAGTGACAGATGCTGTTCAGCTCTATGAAAGCAAG